CCACTCGCAAAATTTTGGCGTCGGAGCTTGCTTGGGTGCCGAGTTGAAATACCCGGACAGACGCGCGCGCGCACACACACACACACACCGGGGTCGTCGCTATATGCGTTTTCGCATTTGCATATTATGCAAAAACGCATAAAGATGCATAAACACGCATGCACTGAAACTCACACATATACATAAACACGAATAAGTACGTATACCTAAATTTCGTCAACATGAGTTATACTAATTAAAACGCTGAAGCAGCAGTCAAATTTGAACTTCTAAGGTGATTTAGAAATTATAGGGACATAAACTGTAAATGTCCACAAGTAGGAGATCCGAGGAGGAAGGAGGGCTTCAAATCATTGGTGTATTAGCATATGCAGTTGGCGAATCACTACATTCCGTTCGCTTGAAGAAGCACTGCATAATTTTTAAGCAGTTTCTTGTTTTATCACTCCAGCGGGATCTGTCAGTGGCACCATACGTCTTCCTTTCAACAGACCTGCTTTAGGAACATAAGCACACGTGCCCTTATCGATCTGAGGGAGTGAGTTATCAGTATTGTGGGAAAATGAACTGCATGAGCAAAACATTCGTAGAATTTTTAATTTCCAAATTTCTGGATGAATTCAAAGGCATTTTCAGGAACGACGTTGATTTTTTTTTCCCCTGTAGAATTAAGCCTGACAATATTTCCAGCGTGCGAGTTGCTTTTAGGCGCCATTCTGAAAAATCCGGTGAATCGTCCAGATTATTACATATTGCACGAAAATATCGTCGTAAAGCAGAAAATTGGCGACGGTGCATTTGGTGATGTTTTCATTGGAGAGCTAAAGAAGCCCGGTGGTAACAGTGTGGATGTGGCAATCAAAATGCTCAAAGGTGTGATGACGAAAAAAGAACGAGCCAATTTCATGATGGTACTTCCTCACTTCATTTGCCAAAAAATGTTTATTTTGCGTCTGAAGAAAGGAAAAACAAACATTCGTTGCCATCTGTGTACAAATAAGCATGCATGTGTACGCGTGTGTGTGTGTTTTATATGTGTATGTATGTTTGCGTGTGTTTGTCTGTGTGTGTGTTTGTGTGTGTGTGTGTGTGTGTGAATGAATATGGGTACGCGTGTGTGTGTATAAATGCTAGTGCATTTGTCTACGAATGTGTCTGTGCTTGAGTGTATGTCTGTTGTATGTTCGAATGTAGATTTAAGTTGAGTGCGAAAGTTTGAACGTAGTTATATAAGTATTATATAGAAAATGTACATAATACGCGGTTATCCATTGCTGATTGACTTTCATCATTTCAAAATGTCGCCCACTTTTATTTCTTATTTCATATTTGAGGAGGCAAAAATAATGCGCCGATTTAATCACGAAAATATTGTCAATTTACTGGGTGTTGCGGTGCAAGAGTATCCCGTGATGATCGTGCTGGAGCTCTGTCCGAACGGTGCACTGGATTCAAAATTAAGGAAGAATCCGAGTATTCCGGTTCAGAAACTAATTCAGTATACTGTTGATGCTTGTCGCGGGATGGTTTATTTATCCGGACGTAAGGTTCTTATTCAA